CTATGACCGACCCCCTGTTATTTATCAATATGGGAGGAAGACTATCAAGGGGACTTGAGGGGGGGGAAACATCATCCATGGTCTGTTATACGGATGAGACCATTGGGGAATAAGCAAGTGGGCCAGGTAAAGTTGGGCTGCGGTTAAGGTTTCCTGCTAGTCATCTNAGATAAAGACAAGAGGACAGCNCAGAGGAGAGAGGAGACAACGGATATAAAGAGTGTACATCAGCCTACGTTTATTTTCATGATTTGTTTTGGATCATCTTTTGAGTGTGAGGGGTGTACAAAAAGAGAGTACTTTCGTAGCCCTTGTGTTTGGTGTGAGACATTTGGAGTTATTAAGAAAGTTGTTATCTTCATTCAGCTCTCTTAGTCACAAAGATTACATTTTGAGAACGATTCCTATCACATTGCCTGAGAAAAGGATGACGACAATCGACCAGACCTGTTACAGTGGTTCTTTATCCAGATTGGCAAAAAGTATTGCCTTCCATGTGGTGGCGTGTGATGTCAAACTTAGATGTTTTAGCTTGCATTCAGCAGCTCAATTCATTTAATTCGATAGTAAGGTATATGATAGCTTTTTACGTAGTTGCATAAAATGGATATATAAGAATATTATTAGGATTGGTTTGGGCATCTTTGAAAGTTTATTGTTCAATGATAATGAGATTGTAAGCGTATGAGTTTGGACACTCGAGGTACGGCTGATATTGTTTTTAGATTCATTTGATCTTGATCCGTCTCTTTCTGAAACGTTAGTGTCAGAAAATAAATTAAATAGCCGGATTTTCAAATAATGGAAACATTTTAGCTCAATGTATCTGCGTAGAATAACGAGGGTTCTCGACTTTGATCGATCAAATCTTCCAGTTTCATCTGGATTTCTTTTCCTTTCTGAATTCTCATCTTTCGTTTTATCGTTTTACTCTTCTGGAAGCAATCGAATCATCAACAAGGTTTTCTCAGAAGGAGATTTGAAAAGAATCGCAGGAATTGAAGAGCGAAACTGATAAAACTACATGAAGATCCTTCATTTAAATTGTCAAGGGATACAGAACCCCTTGACGGTTAAGCATCTTAAAGAAATCAGAAAATTCTCTAAACCTGATATCATGTTTCTCAGAGAAAAAAAAATGGGTATGATGATGTAAATAATATTTGCAAAGATCTAAACTATGCTCACTCTTTTATACTTTCTGCTAGAGGACTCAATGGGGGCCTAGCTATCTTTTGGGATGTACATGTTAAACTTATTTTAGTCAATGCCCCTACTGTATTCCTTTGATGTGTATATAACTCTTGAAGATAATAATTTTTTCCTCTTATATCTATGGGCATTTTATTAGGAAACACAGAGTAACTCAATGTAATATGATGATTTCTCAAGCAGAAGGTGGTTTATATAGGAGCATG